AGAACATGGGTGGTATAGCTTGATCGTCCAAGTGTGTTTGAAACTCAAATGCAACAAAAATATTCCCAAATCGGCAACGGCGCCAAATTGATGATAGGATTTTGTGTGGATGTGAATGAAGATGATATGAAATGAGGTGGAATGCAAACAGGGGTGAATAAAGATGAATGGTATGGTGCAATCACAATCAATCAATTCCTCTTAACCATCATAGTCATTGAAGTATAAGAGGTTATCAATCCAAAATGGGAAACTTGTCACTCTTGAGAATATGAAACAACCAGAAAGTCAAGCAAGCAGTTATAGATTTGAAGTAACACTAACAACCTAAAAAAATGAAAAGCAGTGCAATAAAAGTAAACAAAGCAGTGAAGTGTCAGCTCGACCAAGAGCTCGAGTCGAGTCAGAGCAAAGTACCAGCTCGATCGAGTTTAGGGACGAGTTGAGACAAACAAAGCTAAAGGTGACGACTTTAACAAGATAAAGAGAGAATTAGGGTTCAAGACAGGGTTTTGCAATCAAAGGAATCTACACTTAATCAATCTAGCTCTTAAAACTCCTTGTATCAAGGCTTCTCTTGATATTGGGCTTCTCAATGCCTAGCCAACCCTTTCCCAAGGTGGAGGCTATCAACCAAGGAATGATCTCAGAAACAGGGGGTTAGCCAGTGAGAATCAAACCTTGGAGGCTATAGGATCATTGCCCAAACTAATCCATCCAACCCCTTAGACCTCTATGTCTAGAGCAAGAGATATTGGAGCTCTTAGTGGATCTTTTCCAGCGAATGCCATCACTTTCGTGTGGGGAGTCGCCTAAGGACTTACAAGCCAGGGGTAGTGGTCATGTAGCCTTAAGATCTATCCAAAAGAGAGAGAATCTAGATTAAGACCATAAGCTAGAAGGATTAAGCATATGAAACCTCTAATCTATCCCATCTCAAACCCTAATGGGTAACTACTCACTACACATGAATGTAAACACAAGCAAATGCAATAAAAGAGACATCATAAGAAAGAGGAGATGAAATTAAACAACTTTTATTGAAATAAGCAAGTGCAAATACAAAGAGATTATCCAGGATCTAAGATTCAAGAAGCAAGAGCTTCAAGAACACAAAGATGGATTAGATCTCTAAAAAGTAAAAGACAATAAATTAAAAGAAACTAAAACAAAATAATCTAAAGCTTGGTGGTTTTTTCGTGGCTTAGAGCCTTTAAATACAAGAGGATTAGGTTTAGGGTCAAAGGAAAGTCAAGGGGGAAGCAACATTTTTCGGGTTTGACTTTGACTTCTCAGCTCGATCGAGTTGAAGCTTGGCCGGTCGAGTTGAGGAACTCGACCGGTTGGTCGAGTAGACGGTCGAGCTGGTCTTCAAGATGGCTTCTCCCTTCTTCCTTTGCGTATCCAGTTGAGCTGCTTCCATGTGCCAAGTCCCTCCATGCTCCTTATGTCCCATATGCTCCAGAATGCTCCAAAAGACCTATTTCAAAGGACCAAACATGCATATGTATGCAAATGCAACCTAAAACTAACATGAATGCATAAGAAGAGAAAAGGAACAAGATATGATGCAAATGGAAGCTAAAACTATGCAAAAGATGCATAAAAGATGTGCTAAAACTATGTAAAATTGTCCTCATAGTCATGTGTAGAACCTATTAATCCATGTTTGGGTAAGTATGGGTCCATCTAGTTCATCTTATACACTACAAGTGAGTTTCCACAATGTGGAGGCACAGAGGTACATTTCGGACTCCTTACCTCTTCCGGTTCCCAAATTTGGTCCATTTGATGTTCCTCCCTTGGATTGAGACCGTTTCACTCATGTTTGTCCTCATAGTAATGTGGAGAACCTATTAATCCATGTTTGGGTAAGTATGGGTCCATCTAGTTCATCTTATACACTACAAGTGAGTTTCCACAATGTGGAGGCACAGAGGTACATTTCGGACTCCTTACCTCTTCCGGTTCCCAAATTTGGTCCATTTGATGTTCCTCCCTTGGATTGAGACCGTTTCACTCATGTTTGTCCTCATAGTATGTGGAGAACTATTAATCCATGTTTGGGTAAGTATGGGTCCATCTAGTTCATCTTATACACTACAAGTGAGTTTCCACAATGTGGAGGCACAGAGGTACATTTCGGACTCCTTACCTCTTCCGGTTCCCAAATTTGGTCCATTTGATGTTCCTCCCTTGGATTGAGACCGTTTCACTCATGTTTGTCCTCATAGTCATGTGTAGAACCTATTAATCCATGTTTGGGTAAGTATGGGTCCATCTAGTTCATCTTATACACTACAAGTGAGTTTCCACAATGTGGAGGCACAGAGGTACATTTCGGACTCCTTACCTCTTCCGGTTCCCAAATTTGGTCCATTTGATGTTCCTCCCTTGGATTGAGACCGTTTCACTCATGTTTGTCCTCATAGTCATGTGTAGAACCTATTAATCCATGTTTGGGTAAGTATGGGTCCATCTAGTTCATCTTATACACTACAAGTGAGTTTCCACAATGTGGAGGCACAGAGGTACATTTCGGACTCCTTACCTCTTCCGGTTCCCAAATTTGGTCCATTTGATGTTCCTCCCTTGGATTGAGACCGTTTCACTCATGTTTGTCCTCATAGTCATGTGTAGAACCTATTAATCCATGTTTGGGTAAGTATGGGTCCATCTAGTTCATCTTATACACTACAAGTGAGTTTCCACAATGTGGAGGCACAGAGGTACATTTCGGACTCCTTACCTCTTCCGGTTCCCAAATTTGGTCCATTTGATGTTCCTCCCTTGGATTGAGACCGTTTCACTCATGTTTGTCCTCATAGTCATGTGTAGAACCTATTAATCCATGTTTGGGTAAGTATGGGTCCATCTAGTTCATCTTATACACTACAAGTGAGTTTCCACAATGTGGAGGCACAGAGGTACATTTCGGACTCCTTACCTCTTCCGGTTCCCAAATTTGGTCCATTTGATGTTCCTCCCTTGGATTGAGACCGTTTCACTCATGTTTGTCCTCATAGTCATGTGTAGAACCTATTAATCCATGTTTGGGTAAGTATGGGTCCATCTAGTTCATCTTATACACTACAAGTGAGTTTCCACAATGTGGAGGCACAGAGGTACATTTCGGACTCCTTACCTCTTCCGGTTCCCAAATTTGGTCCATTTGATGTTCCTCCCTTGGATTGAGACCGTTTCACTCATGTTTGTCCTCATAGTCATGTGTAGAACCTATTAATCCATGTTTGGGTAAGTATGGGTCCATCTAGTTCATCTTATACACTACAAGTGAGTTTCCACAATGTGGAGTCACAGAGGTACATTTCGGACTCCTTACCTCTTCCGGTTCCCAAATTTGGTCCATTTGATGTTCCTCCCTTGGATTGAGACCGTTTCACTCATGTTTGTCCTCATAGTCATGTGTAGAACCTATTAATCCATGTTTGGGTAAGTATGGGTCCATCTAGTTCATCTTATACACTACAAGTGAGTTTCCACAATGTGGATCACAGAGGTACATTTCGGACTCCTTACCTCTTCCGGTTCCCAAATTTGGTCCATTTGATGTTCCTCCCTTGGATTGAGACCGTTTCACTCATGTTTGTCCTCATAGTATGTGGAGAACTATTAATCCATGTTTGGGTAAGTATGGGTCCATCTAGTTCATCTTATACACTACAAGTGAGTTTCCACAATGTGGAGGCACAGAGGTACATTTCGGACTCCTTACCTCTTCCGGTTCCCAAATTTGGTCCATTTGATGTTCCTCCCTTGGATTGAGACCGTTTCACTCATGTTTGTCCTCATAGTCATGTGTAGAACCTATTAATCCATGTTTGGGTAAGTATGGGTCCATCTAGTTCATCTTATACACTACAAGTGAGTTTCCACAATGTGGAGGCACAGAGGTACATTTCGGACTCCTTACCTCTTCCGGTTCCCAAATTTGGTCCATTTGATGTTCCTCCCTTGGATTGAGACCGTTTCACTCATGTTTGTCCTCATAGTCATGTGTAGAACCTATTAATCCATGTTTGGGTAAGTATGGGTCCATCTAGTTCATCTTATACACTACAAGTGAGTTTCCACAATGTGGAGGCACAGAGGTACATTTCGGACTCCTTACCTCTTCCGGTTCCCAAATTTGGTCCATTTGATGTTCCTCCCTTGGATTGAGACCGTTTCACTCATGTTTGTCCTCATAGTCATGTGTAGAACCTATTAATCCATGTTTGGGTAAGTATGGGTCCATCTAGTTCATCTTATACACTACAAGTGAGTTTCCACAATGTGGAGTCACAGAGGTACATTTCGGACTCCTTACCTCTTCCGGTTCCCAAATTTGGTCCATTTGATGTTCCTCCCTTGGATTGAGACCGTTTCACTCATGTTTGTCCTCATAGTCATGTGTAGAACCTATTAATCCATGTTTGGGTAAGTATGGGTCCATCTAGTTCATCTTATACACTACAAGTGAGTTTCCACAATGTGGAGGCACAGAGGTACATTTCGGACTCCTTACCTCTTCCGGTTCCCAAATTTGGTCCATTTGATGTTCCTCCCTTGGATTGAGACCGTTTCACTCATGTTTGTCCTCATAGTCATGTGTAGAACCTATTAATCCATGTTTGGGTAAGTATGGGTCCATCTAGTTCATCTTATACACTACAAGTGAGTTTCCACAATGTGGAGGTACATTTCGGACTCCTTACCTCTTCCGGTTCCCAAATTTGGTCCATTTGATGTTCCTCCCTTGGATTGAGACCGTTTCACTCATGTTTGTCCTCATAGTCATGTGTAGAACCTATTAATCCATGTTTGGGTAAGTATGGGTCCATCTAGTTCATCTTATACACTACAAGTGAGTTTCCACAATGTGGAGTCACAGAGGTACATTTCGGACTCCTTACCTCTTCCGGTTCCCAAATTTGGTCCATTTGATGTTCCTCCCTTGGATTGAGACCGTTTCACTCATGTTTGTCCTCATAGTCATGTGTAGAACCTATTAATCCATGTTTGGGTAAGTATGGGTCCATCTAGTTCATCTTATACACTACAAGTGAGTTTCCACAATGTGGAGGCACAGAGGTACATTTCGGACTCCTTACCTCTTCCGGTTCCCAAATTTGGTCCATTTGATGTTCCTCCCTTGGATTGAGACCGTTTCACTCATGTTTGTCCTCATAGTAATGTGGAGAACCTATTAATCCATGTTTGGGTAAGTATGGGTCCATCTAGTTCATCTTATACACTACAAGTGAGTTTCCACAATGTGGAGTCACAGAGGTACATTTCGGACTCCTTACCTCTTCCGGTTCCCAAATTTGGTCCATTTGATGTTCCTCCCTTGGATTGAGACCGTTTCACTCATGTTTGTCCTCATAGTCATGTGTAGAACCTATTAATCCATGTTTGGGTAAGTATGGGTCCATCTAGTTCATCTTATACACTACAAGTGAGTTTCCACAATGTGGAGTCACAGAGGTACATTTCGGACTCCTTACCTCTTCCGGTTCCCAAATTTGGTCCATTTGATGTTCCTCCCTTGGATTGAGACCGTTTCACTCATGTTTGTCCTCATAGTCATGTGTAGAACCTATTAATCCATGTTTGGGTAAGTATGGGTCCATCTAGTTCATCTTATACACTACAAGTGAGTTTCCACAATGTGGAGTCACAGAGGTACATTTCGGACTCCTTACCTCTTCCGGTTCCCAAATTTGGTCCATTTGATGTTCCTCCCTTGGATTGAGACCGTTTCACTCATGTTTGTCCTCATAGTCATGTGTAGAACCTATTAATCCATGTTTGGGTAAGTATGGGTCCATCTAGTTCATCTTATACACTACAAGTGAGTTTCCACAATGTGGAGTCACAGAGGTACATTTCGGACTCCTTACCTCTTCCGGTTCCCAAATTTGGTCCATTTGATGTTCCTCCCTTGGATTGAGACCGTTTCACTCATGTTTGTCCTCATAGTCATGTGTAGAACCTATTAATCCATGTTTGGGTAAGTATGGGTCCATCTAGTTCATCTTATACACTACAAGTGAGTTTCCACAATGTGGAGTCACAGAGGTACATTTCGGACTCCTTACCTCTTCCGGTTCCCAAATTAGGTCCATTTGATGTTCCTCCCTTGGATTGAGACCGTTTCACTCATGTTTGTCCTCATAGTCATGTGTAGAACCTATTAATCCATGTTTGGGTAAGTATGGGTCCATCTAGTTCATCTTATACACTACAAGTGAGTTTCCACAATGTGGAGTCACAGAGGTACATTTCGGACTCCTTACCTCTTCCGGTTCCCAAATTAGGTCCATTTGATGTTCCTCCCTTGGATTGAGACCGTTTCACTCATGTTTGTCCTCATAGTCATGTGTAGAACCTATTAATCCATGTTTGGGTAAGTATGGGTCCATCTAGTTCATCTTATACACTACAAGTGAGTTTCCACAATGTGGAGTCACAGAGGTACATTTCGGACTCCTTACCTCTTCCGGTTCCCAAATTTGGTCCATTTGATGTTCCTCCCTTGGATTGAGACCGTTTCACTCATGTTTGTCCTCATAGTCATGTGGAGAACCTATTAATCCATGTTTGGGTAAGTATGGGTCCATCTAGTTCATCTTATACACTACAAGTGAGTTTCCACAATGTGGAGGCACAGAGGTACATTTCGGACTCCTTACCTCTTCCGGTTCCCAAATTTGGTCCATTTGATGTTCCTCCCTTGGATTGAGACCGTTTCACTCATGTTTGTCCTCATAGTCATGTGTAGAACCTATTAATCCATGTTTGGGTAAGTATGGGTCCATCTAGTTCATCTTATACACTACAAGTGAGTTTCCACAATGTGGAGTCACAGAGGTACATTTCGGACTCCTTACCTCTTCCGGTTCCCAAATTTGGTCCATTTGATGTTCCTCCCTTGGATTGAGACCGTTTCACTCATGTTTGTCCTCATAGTCATGTGGAGAACCTATTAATCCATGTTTGGGTAAGTATGGGTCCATCTAGTTCATCTTATACACTACAAGTGAGTTTCCACAATGTGGAGTCACAGAGGTACATTTCGGACTCCTTACCTCTTCCGGTTCCCAAATTTGGTCCATTTGATGTTCCTCCCTTGGATTGAGACCGTTTCACTCATGTTTGTCCTCATAGTCATGTGTAGAACCTATTAATCCATGTTTGGGTAAGTATGGGTCCATCTAGTTCATCTTATACACTACAAGTGAGTTTCCACAATGTGGAGGCACAGAGGTACATTTCGGACTCCTTACCTCTTCCGGTTCCCAAATTTGGTCCATTTGATGTTCCTCCCTTGGATTGAGACCGTTTCACTCATGTTTGTCCTCATAGTCATGTGTAGAACTATTAATCCATGTTTGGTAAGTATGGGTCCATCTAGTTCATCTTATACACTACAAGTGAGTTTCCACAATGTGGAGGCACAGAGGTACATTTCGGACTCCTTACCTCTTCCGGTTCCCAAATTTGGTCCATTTTAAGAATACCGTGTTCTCAGTGGCAATACGAAATCGACCATGGATGCAAACACCAGCTCCACCTCCCATGACAATACCATTCAAAATCGAAACCTACACAATTTTCCCATATATATGGAAAAACAAATTAGATGAGCTTTACAAACTTTCACCGAGTATATATGTTGAGAGTACCTGAGGTTTGCTATATGTGGCCATAACATAGTTGAGCTTGTATTCATCTGACATGAAAGCAGCACTAAGTCTCCAGTTTCCTAGTCTTATATCACGAACAACAGCTGAAACATCTCCACCAGCACAAAAGGCTCTTCCTTGACCCTATGGCAAAGTTATTCACTCTTGTGTGCAAACGGGGGAGATCATAAATATATAATGAATTGAATTACCTTTAGAATGACAAGTTTCACACTAGGGTCATCCTCATACGCAAGAAACAGTTGTAGCAACCGAGAGATCTAGAAAAGATTGATTCAAGCCAATTAATGTAACAGTAGTGCACGAGAGAGAGGAGGAAACAACAAGAAAAAGAAAAAAAAAAGATTAAATACCATGTGTGAAGACAGAGCATTAAGCTGCTTTGATCTGTTTAGTATCAAGATTCTAACATTCGATTTCTCTTCCACCAAAACCTGTGATCAGATTGATTTACAGAGAGAAGAAGAAGAATTGATATGATCGTCCTAGTAGATAAGGGAAAAAAGATGACCTGAGAGTGAGAGGCCATTTTTCGTCTTCTCTCTTCTTCTCTTCTTTACGGGTCAAATTCGCCTTTGTATCGTCCCGGACGTATACCAGAGCAGCTATGGGATCCAGATCCAGGGAAGAATATTTTAGTGTTTTTTTCATTATTTTTTTAAGATTGTTCTTGCAGATGACTTCTAGTTAGTCACTTCTCTAATTCATTTGGCACAAAAACTTTAGGAGATTGCATTTTCAACGAAAATGTAACTTAAAAACATTTAAGTATGGGTCCATATTGTTCATCTTATAAAATACAAGTGAGTTTTCACAATGTGGAGTCACAGAGGTACATTTCGGACTCCTTACCTCTTCTGGTTCCCAAATTAGATCCATTTGATGTTCCTCCCTTAGATTGAGACCGTTTCACTCATGTTTGTCCTCATAGTAATGTGGAGAACCTATTAATCCATGTTTTGGTAAGTATGGGTCCATCTAGTTCATCTTATAAACTAAAAGTGAGTTTACACAATGTGGAGTCACATAGGTACATTTCAGACTCCTTACCTCTTCCGGTTCCCAAATTTGGTCCATTCGATGTTCCTCCTTTGGATTGAGACCGTTTCACTCATGTTTGTCCTCATAGTAATGTGGAGAACCTATTAATCCATGTTTGGGTATGTATGGGTCCATATAGTTCATCTTATAAACTACAAGTGAGTTTTAACAATGTGGAGTCAAGAGGTACATTTCGGACTCCTTACCTCTTCCGGTTCCCAAATTAGGTCCATTTGATGTTCCTCCCTTGGATTGAGACCGTTTCACAAATGTTTGTCCTCATAGTAATTCGGAGAACCTATTAATCCATGTTTGGGTAAGTATGGGTCCATCTAGTTCATCTTATACACTACAAGTGAGTTTCCACAATGTGGAGTCACAGAGGTACATTTCGGACTCCTTACCTCTTCCGGTTCCCAAATTAGGTCCATTTGATGTTCCTCCCTTGGATTGAGACCGTTTCACTCATGTTTGTCCTCATAGTCATGTGTAGAACCTATTAATCCATGTTTGGGTAAGTATGGGTCCATCTAGTTCATCTTATACACTACAAGTGAGTTTCCACAATGTGGAGGTCACAGAGGTACATTTCGGACTCCTTACCTCTTCCGGTTCCCAAATTTGGTCCATTTGATGTTCCTCCCTTGGATTGAGACCGTTTCACTCATGTTTGTCCTCATATAGTCATGTGTAGAACCTATTAATCCATGTTTGGGTAAGTATGGGTCCATCTAGTTCATCTTATACACTACAAGTGAGTTTCCACAATGTGGAGGCACAGAGGTACATTTCGGACTCCTTACCTCTTCCGGTTCCCAAATTTGGTCCATTTGATGTTCCTCCCTTGGATTGAGACCGTTTCACTCATGTTTGTCCTCATAGTCATGTGTAGAACCTATTAATCCATGTTTGGGTAAGTATGGGTCCATCTAGTTCATCTTATACACTACAAGTGAGTTTCCACAATGTGGAGTCACAGAGGTACATTTCGGACTCCTTACCTCTTCCGGTTCCCAAATTAGGTCCATTTGATGTTCCTCCCTTGGATTGAGACCGTTTCACTCATGTTTGTCCTCATAGTCATGTGTAGAACCTATTAATCCATGTTTGGGTTAGTATGGGTCCATCTAGTTCATCTTATACACTACAAGTGAGTTCCACAATGTGGAGGCACAGAGGTACATTTCGGACTCCTTACCTCTTCCGGTTCCCAAATTTGGTCCATTTGATGTTCCTCCCTTGGATTGAGACCGTTTCACTCATGTTTGTCCTCATATATATGGTAGAACCTATTAATCCATGTTTGGGTAGTATGGGTCCATCTAGTTCATCTTATACACTACAAGTGACTTTCCACAATGTGGAGGCACAGAGGTACATTTCGGACTCCTTACCTCTTCCGGTTCCCAAATTAGGTCCATTTGATGTTCCTTTTTTTTATACATTCTTTTTTTTTACACGTCAGCTAGTTACAAAATCAAATCGTATTAAGAGCCTCGACTCGTGTACGAGCTCGTCTGAGAGCTAGATTTGCCTCAATTGTTTGTCTCTTGCCTTCAGCTTTTCTCAAGTTAGCTTCTGCTATTTCAAGAGTTTGCTGAGCTTCTTGTGGATCAATGTCACTATTCTTCTCTGCATCATTTACTAAAATAGTGATTTCATTATTGCCTATTCTAGCAAAACCGCCCATCAGAGCCATCGTTAACCATTGGTTATTAAGGCGTATTTTCAAAATACCTATATCAACAGCTGTGGCAATCGGCGCATGATTTGGTAATACGCCAATTTGCCCACTATTAGTAGATAAAATAATTTCTTTTACTTCTGAATCCCAAACAATTCGATTCGGAGTCAGTACACAAAGATTTAAGGTCATTTCTTCAATTTACTCTCCATTTCTAAGTTCGTAGCCTTCGCAGTAGCTTCATCGATGTTACCCACTAAGTAAAAGGCCTGTTCGGGAAGAGAATCAAATTCTCCGGAAAGGATCAGTTTAAACCCTCTAATTGTTTCCGCTAGACCAACATATTTTCCCGGAGAACCTGTAAATACTTCTGCTACGAAAAAGGGTTGTGATAAGAAACGCTCAATTTTTCGTGCTCTTGCTACGGTTAAGCGATCCTCTTCGGATAATTCGTCCAACCCCAGGATAGCTATAATGTCCTGAAGCTCCTTGTAACGTTGTAAAGTTTGCTTGACTTGTTGCGCAGTTTCATAATGTTCCTCGCCAACGATTCGAGGTTGTAGCATAGTTGACGTTGAATCTAAAGGATCTACTGCTGGATAGATACCTTTGGCAGCTAATCCTCTTGATAGTACGGTAGTCGCGTCTAAATGTGCAAATGTGGTGGCAGGAGCGGGGTCAGTCAAATCGTCCGCAGGTACATAAACTGCTTGAATAGAGGTTATGGACCCTTTTTTCGTAGAAGTAATTCTTTCTTGTAAAGAACCCATTTCGGTACTAAGGGTGGGTTGATAACCCACAGCCGAAGGCATTCTACCCAATAAGGCGGATACCTCGGATCCTGCTTGTACGAAACGGAAGATATTGTCGATAAATAGAAGTACGTCTTGCTCATTAACATCTCGGAAATATTCTGCCATAGTTAAGGCAGTCAGACCAACTCTCATACGAGCTCCCGGCGGTTCATTCATCTGACCGTAGACTAGAGCTACTTTTGATTCCGCAAGATTTTGTTCATTAATTACTCCAGATTCTTTCATTTCCATGTAAAGATCATTTCCTTCACGAGTCCGTTCGCCTACTCCACCAAATACGGATACACCACCATGAGCTTTGGCAATATTGTTGATCAATTCCATAATTAGTACTGTTTTACCCACGCCAGCCCCACCGAATAGTCCTATTTTTCCCCCACGACGATAAGGGGCCAAAAGATCTACTACTTTAATTCCTGTTTCAAAAATAGATAATTTTGTATCTAATTGTATAAAAGCAGGCGCGGATTTATGGATAGGAGATGTTGTGCGGGTATCAACAGGGCCTAAATTATCAAGCAGGTTCCCCAAGTACGTTGAAAATACGTCCTAGAGTCGCTCCGCCGACTGGAACACTTAGAGGATTTCCCATATCAACCACGTCCATTCCTCTCTTTAAACCCTCTGTCGCGCTCATAGCTACAGCTCTAACTCGATTATTTCCTAATAATTGCTGTACTTCACAAGTCACATTAATTTCTTGACCAAGAGTATCTCGACCCTTAACCACCAGAGCATTGTAAATATTAGGCATCTTGCCCGGGGGAAAGGCTACATCCAGTACCGGACCAATGATTTGGGCAATCCGTCCCAGGTTTTTTTTTCACGTATCAAAACCTCTGGATCCGAAGTAGTAGGATTTATTCTCCTANGAGGCATCTTGCCCGGGGGAAAGGCTACATCCAGTACCGGACCAATGATTTGGGCAATCCGTCCCAGGTTTTTTTTTTCACGTATCAAAACCTCTGGATCCGAAGTAGTAGGATTTATTCTCATAATAAAAAAAATATGTTAAATTTTGTTGCGCAATTTTTCGAATACATAAAAAATCGTCGATAGCAAATTGATCGGTTAATTCAATAATAGATGGGAGTAAGCACTCGGTTTCGTTGGTACCACCCAAGCGAATGTGCAATTCCAGTTTTTACTTATTCTTTTACTTATTCAATGAAGGAATGGTCATTTTCAAGCTCAACTAACCGAAACCTACTTAAAAAAAAATTTGCGGAAAGTCTTTGATTTCTTTATCATAATAGGCAAGACTCTTTTTTATCTAGCGAATTCGAAACTAGATTTCTTATTCATTATTTCGATCTCATTAGCTTTTTTTTTTTCATTTTCGTGGATTAATTCCGCATATTGTCATATCTAGGATTTACATATATAACATTTATTACTGTCAAGAGTGATTTTATTATTATTTTAATATTAAATATTTCGATTTATAAAAAGTCAAAGATTCAAAACTTGAAAAACAAGTATTAGGTTGCGCTATACATATGAAAGAATATACAATAATGATGTATTTGGCGAATCAAATATCATGGTCTAATAAAGAATCATTCTGATTAGTTGATAATTGTGTGAACGATTCCTGTGCAAAAGGTTAATTAAATCTATTCCTAATTTATGTCGAGTAGACCTTGTTGTTTTGTTTTATTGCAAGAATTCTAAATTCATGACTTGTAGGGAGGGACTTATGTCACCACAAACAGAGACTAAAGCAAGTGTTGGATTCAAAGCTGGTGTTAAAGAGTATAAATTGACTTATTATACTCCTGAATATGAAACCAAGGATACTGATATCTTGGCAGCATTCCGAGTCACTCCGCAACCCGGAGTTCCACCCGAAGAAGCAGGGGCTGCGGTAGCGGCTGAATCTTCGACTGGTACATGGACAACTGTGTGGACCGATGGGCTTACCAGCCTTGATCGTTACAAAGGACGATGCTACCACATCGAGCCCGTTCCAGGAGAAGAAACTCAATTTATTGCGTATGTAGCTTACCCCTTAGACCTTTTTGAAGAAGGTTCGGTTACTAACATGTTTACCTCGATTGTGGGTAATGTATTTGGGTTCAAAGCCCTAGCTGCTCTACGTCTAGAGGATCTGCGAATCCCTCCTGCTTATACTAAAACTTTCCAGGGACCCCCTCATGGTATCCAAGTTGAAAGAGATAAATTGAACAAGTATGGACGTCCCCTATTAGGATGTACTATTAAACCTAAACTGGGGTTATCCGCGAAGAACTATGGTAGAGCAGTTTATGAATGTCTACGTGGTGGACTTGATTTTACCAAAGATGATGAGAATGTGAACTCCCAACCATTTATGCGTTGGAGAGACCGTTTCTTATTTTGTGCCGAAGCGATTTATAAATCACAGGCTGAAACAGGTGAAATCAAAGGGCATTATTTGAATGCTACTGCGGGTACATGCGAAGAAATGATCAAAAGAGCTGTATTTGCCAGAGAATTGGGAGTTCCTATTGTAATGCATGACTACTTAACAGGGGGATTTACTGCAAATACTAGTTTGTCTCATTATTGCCGAGATAATGGCCTACTTCTTCACATCCACCGTGCAATGCACGCTGTTATTGATAGACAGAAGAATCATGGTATGCACTTCCGTGTACTAGCTAAAGCTTTACGTTTATCTGGTGGAGATCATATTCACGCAGGTACAGTAGTAGGTAAACTTGAAGGAGACAGAGAGTCAACTTTGGGCTTTGTTGATTTACTGCGCGATGATTATGTTGAAAAAGATAGAAGCCGCGGTATCTTTTTCACTCAAGATTGGGTCTCACTACCGGGTGTTCTGCCTGTGGCTTCGGGGGGTATTCACGTTTGGCATATGCCTGCTTTGACCGAGATCTTTGGAGACGATTCCGTACTACAATTCGGGGGCGGAACTTTAGGCCACCCTTGGGGAAATGCACCGGGTGCCGTAGCTAACCGAGTCGCTCTGGAAGCATGTGTACAAGCTCGTAATGAGGGACGTGATCTTGCTGTCGAGGGTAATGAAATTATCCGTGAGGCTTGCAAATGGAGTCCTGAACTAGCTGCTGCTTGTGAAGTATGGAAGGAGATCAGATTTAACTTCCCAACCATCGATAAATTAGATGGCCAAGCATAGATAAATTAGATTAGTAATTCACGTTCGTTTTATTAGTTTAATTGCAATTAAACTCGGCTCAATCCTTTTAGTAAAAAAAAAGGATTGAGCCGAGTTTATCTATTGTATATACTATTTTTGATAGATACATACTTATCTTATTTAGATATAGAAAATCTAAAAAAAAAAGAAGATTAAACACAACTACAATTTTGTATTGTAGTGTTGTGTCCATAAGAAATCCTATACGAAATATGGATTCTTAGGATTGTTGTATTCTTTATTTTACGTTTCGTGTCAGGGCTTGAACCAAGTATCCCCACTTCTTCGACCCATTCTGCATGTTGTCCGTTTCTTTTCATTCCGTATTGGAATAAAAACCTTTTTTTTTTATATTAGTATACGAGATTTTACTAAAAAAGTTCTTCATATCGTTCTATTCATAAGCGAAGAACAAATATTTCTTTTTTTTTTTTAGGAGAATTTTACACAATATAAGAAAATCCTTACTTTTCGTTTAGAATTGAAATTTATTAATTTCAATTACTTTACTTTTACTTAATAATCTTAGCAATTGCATCGATTGCGTACTCTGACTAGCAAATGAACTATTCAAAAAATTTTTGCATTTTTCAATTTTTTCATTGAATGACTATTCATCTATTGTTATTGTATTTTCATGTAAATAGAGGCCAAAAGCTCTATGGAAAAATCGTGGTTCAATTTGATGTTTTCTAAGGGAGAATTGGAATACGGAGGCGAGCTAAGTAAAGCAATGGATAGTTTTGCTCCTATTCAAAAGACTACTATATATAAAGACCGGTTTATATATGAGATGGATAAACACTTTTATGGTTGGGGTGAGCGTTCTAACAATAAGGTTGATCTTTTAGTTAGCGCCAAAGACATTCGGAATTTCATATCGGATGACACCTTTTTTGTTAGGGATAGTAATAAGAATTGTTATTCTATATATTTTGATAAAAAAAAAAAAAAATTTGAGATTAACACGGATTTGAGTGACCTAGAATTTTTTTTTTATAGTTATTGTAGTTCTAGTTATCTGAATAATAGATCTAAAAGTGACAAGGATCTGCACTATGATCCTTACATTAAGGATACTAAATATAATTGTAATAATCACATGAATAGTTGCATTGACTCTTATTTTCGTTCTCACATCTGTATTGATAGTCACTTTTTAAGTGAGAGTAATAATTCCAATGAAAGTTACATTTATAATTTCATTTGTAGTGAAAGTGGAAAGATTCGCGAAAGCAAAAATGACAAGATAAGAACTAATAGGAATCGTAGTAATTTAATGAGTTCTAAGGATTTCGATATAACTAAAAACTACAATCAATTGTGGATTCAATGCGACAATTGTTATGGATTAATGTATAAGAAAGTCGAAATGAATGTTTGTGAAGAATGTGGACATTATTTGAAAATGACTAGTTCAGAGAGAATCGAGCTTTCGATTGATCCGGGTACTTGGAATCCTATGGATGAAGACATGGTCTCTGCGGATCCCATTAAATTTCATTCGAGGGAGGAACCTTATAAAAATCGTATTGACTCCGCTCAAAAAACGACAGGATTGACTGACGCTGTTCAAACAGGTACAGGTCAACTAAATGGTATTCCGGTAGCCCTTGGGGTTATGGATTTTCAATTTATGGGGGGTAGTATGGGATCAGTAGTAGGCGAAAAAATAACTCGTTTGATCGAGTATGCTACCAATCAATGTTTACCTCTATTGGTAGCTGAATCCAAATTAAAAAGTCAGGCTAATTATAAGAAACAGCTTAATGCTTAATTTGCTGGTTACTTATTTCAATGCGAGAGATGAAAAAACACTTGACAACAATGAGTCATCCCATGTCAACGTGCTAGACGCGTAATTGGGCGAAACGAGCGGAAGTTTTCTATATGCACGGATAATCTCGTACTCGGCGGCTATTAACGATTCGAAGAACCGACTTTCAACAAAATCGTCGTCTTCATGATCGGATATAAGAATTACCCTAGCCGGTGGTGGATGATTCTGTGCCCACGCATACATATCCCTCATAAGTACACTAGTCGAAGAACCTGGGAGCATTAGACACGAACCCTAATTAAAAAAAAAAAAAAAAAAAAAAAAAAAAACTAAAACTAAATTATATATGGAGGGAAAAGAAGATTCACCGTCTGTGACGTGTTTCGTAAAGAAACCAGTGGATAAGATCGCTTCCAAGTCGGCTTCAGGGATGCGACTTAGGTCACCAATGGCAGACATGGTGAAAGGAACGTCACCAATGGCAGAGCTGGTCAAAGGAAGGTGGTTTTCCAACGCCGATTCTATGCTCTGACGGACCTGATAACGATCAAACCCTTTGGGAAAGGGACAGGTGTCCATGTCCCACCACACCCCCGTGTTCATCATCTCGGACATGTATTTAAACCCTACGAAAAATCAAATCGTCTTTAAATCAAGATCTACAGGCTTGAGGTCTCTATCCGTTATAGGGTTTCTGTCAACTCTCTCTGATATATATACATATACTCGAATTTAAAAAGGAAATCAGCGGTTCCTTGCGTTTAAACCTTAGTCGGTTTAACTCGATCAGGCCTTTTAATTATTATTTTCTTTAGCTAAATTTTATTTCTTGCTGAAACCTTTAGGCTATAGCATGGTTATGTTTTTGTTCTCGAGAGTTATTTTTGTCATTTTTTTGTTGTCTGTATAGCCCATTTAGCGACCTAATCGATACCTGATAGAGAGATTTAGCGTTGCCAAAGATGAAATCGATCGAGCCCTGAATGTAGTAATCCTTGAAGTAATGACGACCTCTATCGTCATGAAGAGTGTATTGAGCTCCAAAGAAACCACATCCCACAAACGTCGCCACCGCCTGAGCTCCTACATCTCCCGGCTTGGGGTATTGGAGCCACGTTCTGTCACAAATTACAAATATATCACAACACCAAAAGTTTTTTTTTTTTTTTTTACCATATCCTCTTATTTCTTATTTGCCAAGCAAGGCCAAATGTAGCATAATCAACACAAGAATCTGATTAGTTTATACATTGTTGAAATTGTTCACCGAAGGAACCACCCGAATTGGGTAGCAAAGAAGAAATAAAAAGGATAAACCATACAAGTGGCATTCCGTTTTTTCTTTTACTTCAAAGGGAACAAAGCTTCTTAAGTTCGTAAAAGGCTGTATATATTAGCTCAAACGACGTATATACGGCCGTATTAGCTTCTTTAACATCCAAAAGCTACTGTTGATACAGTGCCTAAACACTGTGTATACGGCTGTATTATTAGCTTTCACCATATTAATACTCTGTATAGGCTAACAGTCTGTATTTAAAGAAGGAAATTTCAAGAAGTAAAAAAGAATGAAGCAATCCTAGAGACGTTACAAGTTAACATGTGGTACTCGAAAAAAAGGAAAAACGTGAAATACAACGATATTAAATGTCTTTACCGATTTCAATCCAAACAAAGACTACTTAATATTACCCTAAATATATAGGCGAATCTCTTGATTTCTTTTTCACTACTCTCAAACCGATCGAGATTTATTTACATCACTCAGATATTGTTTTCTTTGTTTTTCGTAAACTATGGAGAATAACAAAACTCCTCCTCCTCCTCCTCCCTTTGAATTGAAACTCGAACATGCATGGTCTCAAACACCAACCAAAGTCCAAAGGTTTCAGTATCGATGTTAATGCCAAGGTTTTACGACGAGGGACTTCTTCTCCGTTGCAAGAGATCTACTTCTCCTCCACGGTCGACGATTTCATATGGGAAGACGAAGATTGTCCAGAGAAAGTGGAGCTCTACGAATTACTTGTCGATTCAGGAATAATCGAATTCGAGGCTCAGTTTCTGATGCATGACATTATTTTGTACGTTTGTGAGATAACAAACTCGCTTCATGACGACTGCTACAAAGGAGTTTTAACATTGACGGTCGATGTTACGCTACCACCGGAACCGGTAGAGGTTAACCAAGCCCAAGAAGCATTGAGGATAGAACATTTTTAATTTGTCTACCTAGTGGTGTTGAAACTTGCCTTTGACTGCTTTGCCTCTGATTGCTTAGCCCTCTTGGATTGAGAGGAGGCCTTTTTATTTTGAGACTTCTCTGATTGCCTCTTCCCCATAGTAATAGCCTAGTTAGATTGAGTCGAGGCCTCTTCCTCTCCAGAAGAGCAAGGGTCTATAGACATAGACATCAGCCCCTGGAAACAAGATAGCATTGGGTCAAACTTTTGAAATGGAGATATTTATCTACTTGTGAATGATCCATGCCAACTGAGGTGGAGGCAATAGGATGCTTACTTGATTTGTATGTTCTTCACTTTTGAGATGCCTGGTCAAACTTCCAACGCTTTCTCCAGAAACTTTACATATGTCGCAATGCCAAGCAGTTTCCCTTAAAGTGCACTTGTTAGTATCCTCAGACGTGGCTGAATCCATATTATTAAAAAAAAAAAAACAAGTTTTAATTATTAGAAACAGCTTAATGTGCTAATTAGTTATTTCAGTGCCAGACATGTAAAAAGAGATGAAAAAACACCTGGCAATAAGTAATCCCAAAGGATCGTTCGAGAAGCGTAATGGAGTGAAACTTCTGGATGCTTTTGAAACGCACGAATGATCGTGTGTATCCACGCTCCTCAAACGAGGGGAGTAGCCCACTTCCAAAAAAGTGCTCTTCACGATCGGATATGAGAACTAACGTCGCTGGAGGTGGATTTTTACCTGTCCACCTCTTCATATCCAGAAAAATGGATTTCATTTGACCTTCTTGGACGTGTCTCAGAATGATTCCAGTGGATGAGATCGCTTCCAGGACGCTAGGGGAGATGTGTTCTAGGTTGCCAAAGGCAAGGACGGTGGTAGGACGGCAGTGTGAAAACGCTGATTCTAGTTTCTGACGGACCTTACAAGGATCAAACTTTTGGGGAACCTGACAGGTACTGATGTCCCACCACACCCCCATCTTCCTAGATCGAGTCGAGGCTTCCGCTTCATAACACTTAAGCATCAACTCCTGGAAGCAAGATAGCATTGGGTCAAACTTTTGAAATGGAGATATTTTTCTATGAACAAATTATAATGATCCATGCAAGCTGAGGTGGAGGGAAGAGGATGCTTACTTGAAATAAATGATCTGGAGTCTTGAAATGCCTGATCAAGCTTTCAAGTGTTTCGCCAGCAAAAGGCAGGCCAGAACTTATGCACAAGTCGCAATGCCAAGCAGTTGCACTGCACTTGTCCTCAACCTCATGATCAGTAACCTCATACCAAGCTGAATCCAAATTATTAAAAAAAAATCAGGCTAATTATTAGAAACAGCTTAGTTTGCTGGTTAGTTATTTCGATGAAAAAATCACCTGGCAATAAGTAATCCAAAAGGATCGTTTGAGCAGCGTAAATGGGTGAAACTTTCGGATGCTTTTGAAATGCACGAACGATCGTGTATCCACGGTGCTTAAACGAGGGGAGTACACCACTTTCAACAAATTCCTCTTCCCGATCGGATATGAGAATTAAAGTTGCTGGAGGTGGATTATCACGTGCCCACGTAGACATTTCCATCATTATGGATGACGTACCTGGAAAATACGGACAGTTACATAAACCCTGATTTCAAAACAAATACAACTAGAAAAGCAAAATAGAGAAAACAAGATTCACCGTGGGGGGAATGTTTCATAGAGATTCCACAGGATAAGAAGGGTTCTACAAGGGTATGAGGGAAGCGTTTTAGGTTGCCAATGGCAGAGATGGTCATAGGAAGGAATTCTTTGAACGCCGATTCTATACTCTGCCGGAACTGACAAGGAGCATACTCTTGGGGAAGACAGGTGTCTATGTCCCACCACACCGCCGTCTTCACAGGTAGAGACGAGGAGTCTCCCTCTTTACCTTCCTGGAAACAAGATAGCGTTGGGTCAAACTTTTGAAATGGAGATATTTTTCAAAAATGTAAATCATGTGTGGAGGCAAGAGGATCCTTACTAGAATTCTCAGTTCTTCACTCTTGAGATGCCTATGTTCTTCACTCTTGAGATGCCTGTTTAAACTTTCAAAGCTTTCGCCAGCAAAAGTGTGGATAGAATCGATGCATGTGTAGCAAAGCCAACCAGTTTCACAGTAGTACTCCTCAATCGAGCTTTTTATCTCCTGACTGGTAGCTGAATCCAAATTTAAAAAGTCAGGCTAATTATAAGAAGCAGCTTAATGCTTAAGCAACCCCAGTTCAACGTGCTAGAAGTGTAATCGGGCAAAACCTTCGGAAATTTTGTATATGCACGGATAATCTTGAACTCCTCGCCTAATAACGAGTCGAAGAACGCCCTTTCCACAAACTTGTCTTCATGATCGGATATAAGAATTACTCTAGCCGGTGGTGGATGATTCTCTGCCCACCTATACATATCATGCATAATACCCACCGGACCTGGAAAATACGCCCACTTAGACACGAACCCTAATTAAAAAAAAAAAAAAAACTAAAACTAAATCATATATGGGAGGGAAAAGAAGATTCACCGTCTAGGACGTGTTTCGTAAAGAAACCAGTGGATAAGATCGCTTCCAAGTCGGTTTCAGGGATGCGACTTAGGTCACCAATGGCAGAGATGGTGAAAGGAACGTCACCAATGGCAGAGCTGGTGAAAGGAAGGTGCTTTTCCAACGCCGATTCTATCCTCTGACGGACCTTATAAGGATCAAACCCTTGGGGAAGCAGACAGGTGTCCATGTCCCACCACACCCCCGTCTTCATCATCTCCATCTCGTATTTAAACCCTACGAAAAATCAATTCGTCTTTAAATCAAGATCTACAGGCTTGAGTTCTCTTATCAGTTATAGGGTTTCTGTCAACTCTCTCTGATATATACATATATACTCGATGACTATAAGGGTTTTTTATGTTATGTTCTGCTTTGCATGTTTAATTTTTGTTTTCCAAAAATTTGTAAACACAAATCAGAGAAACGACAGCGTTTTGGCTTTTATTTTTCATGTTGTCAAAATTGATTTAAGGCAAAACCTAAATGTAAAAGTAAAAATCGCGAGATGATTGTCATTCACGAGTCAAATATAGGATGATCAAACATTCGGTGACGTGGCTCCGCATCTAATATGTGATCCAATCCAATAACAAAAGAAATATGTTTAGATCCTTTCATCATCAATCAAATAATCTACTCGATAACTTCAACTAAAATTAATTACCAGATATTCCAAAAACAAACAATAATACGTAATTACGTATGTTGCAATATAAACCCCACAAGTGTTACAAGAAATTAATAAACCAAATCTTATTATATAAAGATTTGACACGTAGATTTTTATAAAATATAATTGCGACATTGTCACTTTTAATATTATATCCGTTAAGATGTATGTCTTGGAAAAAGGAAAAAAAAATTAAGGGAAAATTTTAATCTTTTATAATAAAAACGAAAATTTATATAATAAATTGAAAATAATGTAATAAAAATACCTATTAGTACATGGAATAGGTATGTAAACTAAATATCCTAAAACTGTATGAATAGGTTACATAAACCCCTATTTTAAAAATCTATTAGTACATGGAATAGGTATGTAAACTAAATATCATAAAACTGTATGAAATTGGTTACATGAACCCCTATAAAAAGAGAGCTATTGTATTCTCTTTTTCTCATTCACAAACTCATCAAAGCAAATTCAGCAAATCTCTTTGATTCTTTTCTCTAATTTTAAAATCATGTCTTTGAAAGTTCAAGAGAACAGTGGAGATTATTTGACTCTAGGTCAATTGGATCGAAATCGAAATTATCGTCGTACTATTCTTATGGGAGTTGAGCTTCTATTACTTGATGAAAAGGTTAGTAACATCTTATTATATTGATATAGATAATCTTATTATAACATTGATTAACATTAAAGTTTTACTTTTGTTTGAAACAGGAAAACACAATTCAAGTTTTTGTGCATCATTCACTACTTCAAAATTTTGAGATCAGATGGCCGAAGGAAACATTATCGAAATTTGTAATTTTAATCTGCAGTCTGCTCATAAAAAAACTTCTATTACTTGATGAAAAGGTTGTAACATATTATATTGATATATACTTATTAAGAAAAGGAGGAAAAATAACTCTCATTAAGAAAAGAAAAAAAAAACGAAAAAAAAAAAAAAAATTGTTACATCCATTACGAAAAGGAAAAGTAAAACATATTTCAAATACAAAAGGAAAAAATAATAATATATAGTAAGTTATACTTCATGATTTAATTGTGTGATTCTATTTTTGATTAAACTTCTCTCTCATTAAGAAATAAATATAATGTATTTGAAAGTTCATGATATCAATGAAGAATATTTAACTCTAGATCAGTTGGATCCAAATCAAAATTATTGTTGCTACTTGTGTCTAATATTTTGAAAACAAGTGTTAACACAAGAAAATTGGAAAAATGTATAAAATAAAAACTAACAAAATAATTAGAAAACAACTAACTAATAATGGAAAGGAAATTTTATAATGGCCTGAGTCAAAAACAAAACTGAAAAAACAATATAAATAGAAAACTAATAAAATAATTATCGAGCAACTAACTAATATTAACAAAAAAAATTATAATGAACTGATATTCTAATTTTATATTTTTTTTTGTTAGGTAAAAAATATTAAAAAAAAAGATTTCATCAACCGAAATCTCTTCAATGGAATAATAAAATTTTCACGAATTAATCAATCAATCAAACTTACACATGTGTAAGTCTTTCAATTTTAGATAAAAGTAAAAAGATAACAAATTAATTCATTTTTCGTATCATGAATTCAGAAAATATGTCAATTATAATAAAAATGTAAAAAGATTACCAATCTAATATTATTTAGAGGTCTTTTATCGAGTTTTAATATTAATCTACTTATTTTTAAAGTGTCAAATTTATTTAATATTTTTCTATGATTTATTTCAAAAATTGTATAATAAATCCACGCGGAGCCTAATCTAGTAATATTATATTTTTACAATAAAGGCTGGAGAAAATAATTCACATCACTTCACACAACAACTCGTAAATAAAACTATTGCGATGTTATTGTAACTCCTCAGAACTCAGAAGCAGATGTCCAGGGCACAACAGCAACACATGGCTGCAAGACTACAAACAAAAATCCAAAATGAAAATCAAGTTAGAAGAAAGAAAACGAATAAGGTGGCCATAAGGTTGCATAATTTCATGATGATCGCTTACCAGCCTTTAAAGAATCCGTCACCCTTAGACTTGGTCTCGACTCTAGCCGGAGCCACCGAACCATGGCTCTGATCGTTCGTTGGGTAACCAATCGGTGGTGGCGGCGTTGGACCGGTTGACATCGGTGGCGAAGGGTTAGCTCCTACGTTAGACATAACATATCATATCATCAATAAAACATTATATCTATTCATAAGAAAACCAAAAAAAACTACTAAAAAAAGAAACCAAAAGAGAGGATCGTTTGTTTACCTGTAGATTGGTTGTGATTGTTGTACTGACTCATCTTCGAAAGATTAGTGAAACGGACTTTGGTTTTTAGCAAGATTTTTATGCGTGTGTAGATGTTTTTTTGTATGGATCAGAAATATTTGAATCTTAGAATATCTTTACAAATGGGTGTGTATGTGAATATATAGAGAAAAAGAAGGTCGGTTTTTGAAGACCGCGTGGAAGATAGAACATTAATGTCAATTGTCTACCTAATGTCACCAAAATATATTCAAAGTTATTATTTATTTTAAAATAATATAATTAACGAATATTTTAGTTAGTGAGTCAATCAAATTCTTATTAAAGTATAAATTTATTTCTCTAAAGTAATGTGGATAACTTCAAATGGAAAGCGTGGTACGGGGTTTATGTCGACACGTGTGGTATTATTACTTCTCACACGGCCTGGAACGTGTTTTGTTGAATTTTGAGAAAACGTCACCAAGTTTTCTTTTCTTCTTGCTTCGTTTGATTGGATGATTGGATCACAGGAAAAAAGCAATAAACTATTTAACCAGAGAGTTTTTAGTTGGTCTAGTCTTCGTAAGTTAACCAAATTAACAGAAACTACGAATTCGATAAAGGGAAAATATTTTATACTAAATCTTACATGCATTAATGTTGAATATTGGCAAGGAAACTATAAATTGTTGTAACATATAATAAATCTCTTTAACAAAAAAAAAACATATAATAAATCTCTAAAACTTTGAAAAAGAAGAAGGTAAAAGTTATCATGATATTAAAGAATGTTAGATAATTCATTGGATAAAATATAATATGCTAACTTTCTTTTAGTAAACAAAAAACAACGAGAAAGTGTCATAGTGAAAACTCAAACCGTAATGAAAACCCTTTAACGAGAAGAAAAAGAAACACAAAGGAAACATCATGTTAAGGATCTCAACCCGAAAACGCAATTGTCAGTCATGATTCACACGTTATCGTGGTTGAAATTTATAAGGCTTATTAATCTTACAACTCATTCTTTATAACAAAACAGTATGTAAAAGTGTTTTAGTGATGATGTAAAGAAAATAAAAGATATGGTTCTTTATATCTTTTGGTGAAAATGAAATTTGGTTCTCCACCCAAAACAGCAAATTCTCATAAATGGCGATCCACGCGTCATCTTACTTGACTTCTCCGACACTTGTCATTATAAAATCATTGTTCGGATAGAATGCAACATCTACGAAACTTCATAAAAAGGGAGAAATGATATCATCCAAAAAGTTTATATGCTCATGAGATCCAATTTTTCAAACCCAAAACACTCTTCTTTTTGCTTACACAATTGCATTTGCAGCCTCTTTCAAGTAAAAATTGCTAAAGAACTATGTTTTGTCTCCCATAAACACTCAAGCAGCATTAAGAGCTTCAAGCTGTTTCTTCAGATCTTCAAGGTCGTCCTCCTCCTCTGCCTCTCCAGACCCTATAGCTATTTCTTTCTCATAGTCATCTGCAACTGGAAGCTCCCGAGTAAGCCCTTCAGGCAGTGTATCTGGATACAACACAATTGGATTTAGACAATTTGTCAGAAGAATAAGAGTTAAGTTTGATACATTTTCACAGAAACAGCATAGAGAAAGTCCCGAGTTGAAAGATACCTGAACTTGAGGAAGCTTTTGTAGTATCCTTCTCATTCTCATCGTCGACCACACTAATAAGAAGACAAGAGATACACATCAGATTCTTGTTGCAAATATGGTTGGAAAGGAGAAGAATCCGACCCAATTATACAAATTTCAGTGAGTTGTTACCTTATGTTCCACTCATTATCATCATGGAGTGGAGTATCATCGACAGCGGTTAATGCATCGGCTTCCATCTTAGCTTTAGCAGCAGCATCCCTTGCTGGTTCCCCAAGCATGTATTCTTTCTGCATTTTGGATTTCATTTTTATTAACCAGAACATGAAAAAAGGAGTAAAACAAAGAGGAGCTCAGAGAGTTGTGTAGTTGATTTAACTCAAGTTACCTGCCGTTCTAGACAAGCTACATTCGAGCATTGTGGATTTGGTCTCATTTTCATGGTTGGGAAAAAGTCCTTCAGTGAATTGTAACCCTGTGTGTGGGGTCAAGTAGCAGAGGCAGGAAAAACGAGTAAACACTTGAGTGATTCATATGATAATGAGGAGAAGAGAAATGTGAGGAGAGATGAAGAGAGCCAAGACTGTTTACCAAGTATGGAGAAACTTCACCAAAATTAAGTAAGAATTTGAGAGAGTTTTGAACCAAAAGCCCTGCAACAACACCCTGAATCGAACGAGAGTCTTAGAACACAACCAGAGCTTTGCTAAATTGAGGCAGTAGATGGAAACGTGATAACTAGGCAACATTTGTTTCAACCATTCTGTCAAAGAGATTGAAAATTACCATAGTAGTAGGCAGAGATGCAGCACAGACCCCTTCACGTTTAAGTGTCCGTTCATCAATTCCAGATGCCACGACCTACCACAGAAAGTACAAAGAGATTGTTTCAAAGAAGTGCTCATGTCGTATAAATAACCTGGATCTCAAAATACTTGAATTCACCAATATTCCACTTATAACATTCCTCAAGCATTAAAGCAGAGTATGATAGGAGAAACATACCAGAGGAGGTGCACAAGCAAAGCAAGCGGTTTCTCCAGGAACCAAGAGCTGTATGTGACCTGAAACAGCATCCTCGGAAACACCTGCACAGAACATCAATTATTTGTTATCCCAAAGAAAACAATAACTACTTACAGTATATAATTATAAGCTGTTCATATAGTTACCTGACTCCATCCATGTCTGACACAACTCATTGCATGCCTATACACATCAATGAATAAACTCAAATCAAATGCCGATATTGAACTTTCATGAATCACTTCCATTCACAAGAATAATCAAATAGTGCAACGAACTGAGTCATGTAAAATGTAAGATCAAGATGCTTGACGGTGAAGTAAGAATGATATGGAATTTGTAACAAAAAAAAAGGCCAGTAAAAGCTACCTGGTTGACAGCCATCCTTGCTTCATAATTATCGACACAGCTCAAAACAAGATCCACACCACTGCCCTCCTTGCTAGGACAAAACGACTTATTCTTCAAGCTCGACGTGAAGGTCTCAAAGCCTTGCACTGTTGTTATGTTCATTGTGAAACTCTGGGTAATAGAAAAATAGACTGTTAATTTTCTAGTAACTATGATGTAAATAACCATTAAACTGGCATCAAATCAGAGATCAATTAGAAAATTACCTCAAGGACTACGTCAGGGTTTATTTCAGCAAGGGTCTGGACAGCAGCATCAGTCTTTGTCATACCAACCTACAGCCACCATTGTTCAGATATCAGAATCAAGTCCTCCACCAGATAAGAAGACACAGTTAACAGTGAGAATTGAGTACCTGATCAGGTCGGAAAAACAGCCTGTTCATGTTTGCTAGTTCCACAGTGTCATAGTCATACAACAAAAGACGACCAATACCACACCTGGTCAACATTTCAGCAGCGACACTTCCAACTCCACCAATTCCCTGTCATTTTTAACAATCCTTGTACAGATTAATGAACAAACTTGTAGCTAAATACATCTGTATATCTATGGCAAGGAAATTTTCGAAACACATACAACGATGGCGACGGAAAACTCTCTAATTCTCTCATAGTTTTCGACAATACCCATCCGCTGAAGTGCCATAAGCCTACTGTACGGATTACTATCTACCACTTCCGAACTTAATTCCTGCATTAGAGAGTCGCCTTGAAATCAGAAGGTTTTTCAATTGATTACATAAAAAGAAGAGATTTTTCATGTATATAATGTAGACCTTGACTTTGGAACGCCGGTGAGGATTACATTTAGACAGAGCCGCTAGATTTTCAACATGTGATCGTAGCTGAAATAATCCCAATACAATTGATAAGTGAAACGCATTGTTACCGTCAGGAGAATTCATGAAACTAACATAAGCAATGCAACAACAAAAGCTTGAAAGCCCAAAAAAAATAGTCTCAAGGTGAATGCAATCAGGAGAAGCGAAATTCTGATCAAGGTGAATGCAATCATGAGAATCCAGAGCTAGATCAATACAAGGATAACTCTCAAACACCAATGCATGTGAAAATTAGACCGGAAATCAGAATCCACGCCACACAAAAAGAGATCGCAATTTGAGTCTTAATTCCGCAAAAAAATAAACAGGACTGGTATAAATAATCCACTAATAAATAGAGATCTGAAGCAACACCTTGTGGATCGGAGCAGGATTGGAGAGAGATTTCTCGAGAACGTCAAGATCGTCGAGCATTGCTTTGAATTCAATCTCCATCTCAGCTCTCTGAAGATGAGATAAAGAGCCGAGAGTGATGTGGAAGATCGGTCTGCGAAATCTGCGATGCTGATTTGAGAAATCGAACGGATTTGGAAGAGAAACTCTGTAAGAATTGAAGTACAAAGGGGTTTAAAGACCAAAAAAACGTTTATTCAATTTCACCAAAGAAAGGAAAGAACAACAAAAAGTGTTGACTAAACAAACAAAGAACCGAAAAAAGTTGACCGAGAAAAGAAGGAAAGAAGAACATCAAAAATTGTCCCGGTCTGCTTTATATATACAAATGGGCCCGAAGCAAAACCCATTATCTATTTTCCGTTGGCCCATGAAATATAAATGTACATAATTCCATATCTCAAATTTGATAAGCTTTGCACAATGGAAGAATAAGCAAGCTTAGTTATCAAGAAACTAATCTGATGATTTAACTCTTAAAAAAAATCTTGTTAGATGATTCTCTTTGTAACTAGAGAGACTCAGTGAGCTCCCAAAAATTAACTTGTCTTGGCAACAATTTTTTGTTGGTGAATCAGATTCTCACTGAATCACGAAGATTTAAGACGGACAAAAACAAAACTAATAAAATAATCACGAAGCTTAAACTGAAACACAGCCAAACAAGAGATTCATGTCTGTAGAATCATAAACCATAAAGAGACAAAGCTACGAACAACTAACGAAGGAGATACCCAAGAAAGATGTAAAACCAGAAAGAATATAAAAAACGAACAAATCCTAACAAATATGTAACTAAAAGGCAGTATCACACGTACATAAACATTAATTTATAAGACACGACAATCAGAGCTCTACTCTTTCGCAAGGGCAAAGCATAGGCTTCCTTGAGACCTAAAGGACCAAAGATCTATCTTGTCGCCGGCTTTCAATGTGTTACCCTCAACGATGTCGTTCCAGCCACGATTCAAGACGTAGTGCAAGCTTCCGCTCTCAGAGGTCTTATTCCTCATCTCCCATTTCTTGAAACGCAAGTTCCACTTTTCAGACCTTTGATTCACGACAACTACTTTAATTCCCTTGCCTTTCTCGACTTTATCCACTTTGTCTTGTTCTAATAATATCGACTCCTCTTGCGTCAGGAAGTCGTTTCTCTCTAGCTGATTGAAAGAGATTAAGAAACGGCTCTGCGCTCGCTTCACATCACTCTTGAAAAGAGACTTCTTCAAGATGAGCCGCGCGTCTTCTGCTTCTTCCATGGATTCCATCGCCTGCACAAGCCACGCTGGCGTCGGTGGTGGATCAACTACCAAAGCAGCCTCGCGTCTCGGCTTCTTTCCTCTCTTGTTTCCACCACTACTCTTCCTTCTTTTTCGCACGAGAGGCTTCTTTCCCTTCGACGTAGAAGGTTGGGGATTAGGGTTTGGTGGGGTTTCAGGGATGCTCTGATGATAGGTTAAGGATAAAGACAGCCAAGGAGTCTCATACTCGGAGGGAGGCTTGTTAAGGTCAATACGGATGTTCAACGAAGATGCTCCATTAAGCTGTTCATACTCACTTCGCTCTGACACAGAGTCAGAGAATGGCAGCGGCTCGTTAAGGTCAATACCGATGTGCCTTGAAGAAGAAGCTCCATTGAAATTTTCATGCGTTCCTCTCTCTGCTTCACGCTGCTCAAAGGGGAGCTCGTTAAGGTCAAAATCGAGAGCTTCCTCATGCTTCGCCATTGTGATGAAAACGAAAAGTAGAGAGAAAGAATGGTTTCTGTTTACAATATATATATATATATATATATACACTCAGTAGACACGGTCCTACTCCTATCTAAATCAGAAATCATAATCACAATCAGATATTGATTCCCATAATGTAACCAAATATTAACTTTTGTTTATTTTCCCCCCTTTTTTCCATGTCAGCTTACTGCTTAGTTTAACTGTTTGATTGGTCCACGTCACTAACGGTAGTACACAACTACGCATAGTTGAAAAGATAAAAAAAAAAACACGTAATTCTTCCAGAAATCGGTTTACAAAAGAACCGGTAAACCGAAGAAGTACCAAGGACCCGGTTTTCGTGTCCCAGTTTCCCAGTGGAAATCGCCATAGCCAACAAAACGGGAACCTGATTTTGGTCGCACACCGTAAACATAGGAGAAGCAAAGTTATGTGCTTTCCTCATTGAGATCGAAATTGAACGATCTAGTTTCGTAATCCATCGAAAAAAGCTTCTCACCCAATGTTCATCTTCTCACAAATCGTCATTTGATACTTCGTTCGGCCACATTTCGTAGAATCAGTTTCAGTCGGAATCGACAAAATTGCACCTGAAATTCATCTGCATCATCAATCGACGGGTTTACTGAATCGTAGCATGCGAAAGGAAGATGGGTTCTGGAAAACGTGCTTCTTCTAGAGATCCTGCGATCTCAGGTGCTCTTCTCTGATTTTCTTATGTTTCCGTTCCTAAATTTTGAAACTTTTAGGGTTTTCGATTGCTGTTTGTAATTGCTACATTGAATTATCTTTAATCGGTGCATACATTGTTTCTATATGCATTTTGTTTGCGACTCTCTTAGATGATTATCCAATCGATCGGTGTTTCGATTGATTCATGAGTTTGAGTGTTTGTGTAAATAGCTCTTTGACTTGGCGACTAAATAAATCTATGGTTTTTGCAGGTTTGCGTGAAAAGCATCAGGAGGATCTAGAGAAACTGACATTGACCTCACAGCCGTTAAAAACCTTTAGATTCTTTGTCGCCGCTGTGTTTCTATATGTTAGAAGATCTACCTCGTACCTTCTTGCAAATGGTGGCTGGCTTTTGCTTTTTGGTAGCATTCTCGTGGCATTTTCAGCTCTTGCTGTGACCGTAGATGGCCCACATGTCAAGGTAAAACAGATTGAGACTTTTCCTTGTATATGTAGCTTTAGGTAGGGATCAGGAAAAAAAAGAGTTTTTGTTATGAGAAGCTAGAAAATATCCTACAACAGTGGCACATATACTGCTCTTGAATTGTGAATAACATAGATGAAGAAAATGGTAACATCTCCTAATTTTCTTTGCGTGCAGCATCTGGAAGAACTGTCTGAGTACGCTAGATTTGGACTATGGTGGATTTTCTTAGGTGTTGCATCATCAATTGGTCTTGGTAAGAATATGTTCTACTGGACATTCTGTAGTAGTTTCTTATCGAAATATTTTTGATGAATACTGTTTAACATTCTTTTCTCTTTTATTGGTGATTTTCAGGATCTGGTTTGCATACATTTGTTCTTTATTTGGGTCCTCATATCGCTTTGTTTACCATAAAGGCAATGACGTGCGGGCGGGTTGATTTAAAGAGTGCTATATACGACACAATCCAGTTGAAGAGAAGTCCCTTGTGGCTTGATAAACCTTGCGACGAGTTTGGGTCACCAGTTTTTTCTTCAGGAGTTCCGCTGAGCAGCATATTGCCTCAGGTTCAGATAGAAGCCATGCTTTGGGGTCTAGGAACAGCGTTAGGAGAACTTCCTCCTTACTTTATCTCAAGGGCAGGTAAGTTTCTGACACAGGAACAGAGATAAAAAAAAAAAAAAAAAAAAAAAAAAACAGTTTAGCAGTAAGATTGATGAATGATTGCTAATGCTCTGGCTCTGTGCAGCAAGTCTTTCCGGTGGCAAAATGGAAGAGCTAGAAACATGTTCTGGTGAAGACAGTGGATTTATTGCTAAACGCGTGAATCAGGTCAAAGGCTGGTTATTGTCACATTCACAGTACCTCAACTTCTTCACAATTCTGATTCTTGCTTCGGTATGTTATAGTCCACTGAACAGTTCAATTCTGATCTCTTTAAAATTCCTAAAAACCTTATGATTCGCTTATTATAATTGGATTCTGCCTTACATTCAGGTTCCTAATCCATTATTCGACCTTGCTGGAATCATGTGTGGACAATTCGAGAAACCATTTTGGGAGTTTTTCCTTGCAACGTTGATTGGGAAGGCAATCATCAAGACGCATATACAGGTTTGTGAGCGTTTCCATAATACTTTTTGCGTTGTGGCACGTTTCTTCTGGCATCCTTCAGGGTTGATCTTAAAATCTTTGGGTTCTAATGTTTTTTTTGTCTTTTGCAGACTGTTTTCATCATATGTGTATGCAATAATCAGCTTCTTGACTGGCTAGAGAATGAGCTGATATATATTCTGAGCTTTGTGCCTGGTTTTGCTTCTGCATTGCCTGGGCTCACAGCAAAACTTCGCTTAATGAAAGAGAAGTACTTGGTTGCTTCACCTCCAGTAACTTCTGATATCAATGTAACATTTTTTTTGTCTCTTTACACTTTGGCCATACCGTTTCACACATTGTTCTGCATTTTGAGGTTTTTTGGATGAATGTTTTTTGATGGATCAGGTCAAGAAATGGGATCTTTCTTTTGCAACGGCGTGGAACGGAGTCGTGTGGCTGATGCTTTTGAATTTCTTCGGCCAGATTGTGACTGCAACTGCACAGAGATATCTCAAGCAGCAACAAGAAGAAGAATTAGATGCTTTGACCAAAAAGTCGTCACCAGTCTCAAAGAAATCTAACTAGTCCAGAAATTTATTGATCATTTCTAACTTTGGTTTATTATTTTTTTCCATAGAAACCACATATGATTGTTTTACTTTTCATCTGAGAACAAAAGAAATTGTGTCCAGAGAGAAGAAAAGAGAGAAAAAATTTGAGAGTTTAAACTTTAAAGAAAGTTCTAACTGTGGTTTTAGTCATTTAGATGTGATTTGTTTCATGGTAAATTCACTTTTCTTAATCGGTAGTATTGTAGTAATTCCACAAAGGGTAATTGCCATTTTAACAAGTTTCTTGGTTGTGAATACATAAAGTTAACTAACGACACATATGAATAGTCGTCCCTCTTTCGGAATTTCCTAAAAACGCGAGCTTCTTGAGAAACTTAGGGTCTCAATAAAGCCGTTCCTCAAAGTCCTTGGATTCCAAGTTTCCAGTTGATACAAGATCCAAAATAGAACATTTATTTTCGGATGTGGATTATTCTCTCTTTTATTTCGTAGACAAAGTAATGTATATATGTATAATGGCTAAGTATTTTACTTAGACATAGCTTCGTTTAAAAAGACGAAATCAGTTTTAGGAATTTACTACAAAAAGAAACAAACGAAAGGGACAAATCAGAATTCATTACTGCAGAAACCGACAAAGAATAAAAGTCGAGAGAGTAACCAAAAAAATCTGTTCATCTGTCTTTAAATTATTTTTCCCATGCGAAGAAGACACAGATATCAACAGTTAAACGAAAAGAAAACGACCCCGAAAATTATGCAAGAAAAGGCCAATTTAATTCAACTTTTTGAAACAAAATAAGTATAGTTGGATCAAATTTAAAGACTAGCTTCCAAATAGAAAATGCCTAACCCAGTTTACGTCATCTCACTTCAGAAATGTGGTTTTGTAATAAACCTTGATACAATGGCGACAATTGCTCCAAGACATATTACTCTTTTCTCTATGCATATAACAAGTATTTCTTACTAAGACTAGTAATATAAATTTGCATAAACCTTATATTATAACGCAACACTGCATGTACACACAATCACTAAAAGACAGAAGAAAGTCCACATTGACCTTTTCAATTAATTATAACATTATACATTTACTGAATTGACACATATTCCTAACAAATATTGAAACTAGCTAAATAAAGTAATTAATGTCAAACCTGTAACCCTTGTGGCTTATGTATATATATTTTTTTCGTGTTAAACCTAAACTGTTTTTGACAAGAAAAGCTTTGTCAAAGAAACAAATTTAAATTTCCATGTGCATATATCCTCCCCGTATCGCCAACGTATGTATATATTATAACAACAAATTAGGTAGCTCAAAGCTTTATGAGGTCCTCTTCCATTGGAAGTTTGGAACTAACTCTGACTAAATAACTAAGTAGGTGAGCGAGTTCGTTTTAAGAACTTCAAAATGTTGCTTTTGTCTTTTAGCTTAAAATAAACGAACAAACTTTAACTGTTTACACTTTAGTTTCATTATTTTTACTACTACAAGATTGTTTATCTTCCCATTCTTTCTAGTGTTATCAATTGCTTTGTCAACGGTTTGCTTTTTTATTTTGATGATTAGGAAATAATGGGGTCACATGTAGGTACATGTATCCTCTAGTAACAAATAAAGAAACAACAGCAACGTCGCATGTTCTCATTTGAATTTTCCCAATGAGCCATTCTCCGTCACGACCACGTTGTCTTTCTTTTTATCTTACTTTTTTCAAATTATAATTTACCCATAGCGAAGACTTTTTTTTTGCATGCCTTATCCCGAAAAATGCCCATTGTAATTATTAATTATAATCATCATCAATTAAAAAGCTACTAAAGTGTTAAAATTCAAATAATAAACTTGATACAAAGTATTCAAACTTCAAAACGGTACAAAATGAAAACAGAACGCTTTGGACATTCGAAATCAAAACCATTAGAAAGAAAAAAACTGAATAAATAAACAATTGATCAAAATTATTAGAAATACATTTGACGAACTAATAAGATAGAAACAACAATAATGGAAAAGCTTTTTATAACAATGGCAAAAGTTATATACTACTTGTTTCATAAATGGAGTTTAGAACCGTTGAGATAGAGACACGTGGCGGCGTCTAATCTGGGTGGAAACAATAGAGACGAGACCGCCGAGTGGGGGCCGCATCTTT